GGTGGAGGTTGCCGTGAGCCAGGATCGAGCCACTGCACTCCGGCCTAGGCAACAAGAGTGAGACTCCATCTCAAAAAAAAAAAAAGTCTGGGAATTTTTTTAAAACTCAGCAATTTATATAAAGACATGTGTAATATAGCTAAAAACTAGGTATGGGAAAAATTGCTCAGTGGACTTGGGAGCACAGAGTTGATGCAACAGAATCTTGAAATGCTGTTTGGAAAGTGGAATAACTAACATTTACTAAGCACTAATGACATGTCAGGCACTTGGCATAGAGAAAGGTCTTTACATGCAAAAATCTCATTTAGTATCCTCAAGGGTCTTCTGAGGTAGGTATTACACCATTCTTCCTTTTTTTTTCTTCTTTTTGAGACAGAGTCTTGCTCTGTCTCCCAGGCTGGAGTGCAGTGGTACAGTCACAGCTCACTGCAGCCTCAACTTCCCAGGCTCAAGTGATCCTCCCACCTCAGCCTCCTAAGTAGCTGGGACCACAGCTAGTTGTTTTTTTTTTTGTTTTTTTTTTGTTTTTTTTTTTAAGAAATGGGTTTCACTATGTTGCCCAGGTTGGTCTTGAACTCCTGGGCCCAAGTGACTATCTCACTCTTCTGTTGCTAATGGCTTACTACAGCAATTTAAGGAAATGACACCTCCGGGATTAGATGTAAATGTAGAGTGTTCAACATAGCATCCAGTACATAGCAGGTACTGAACAAATCCACTGCTTTTTCTTCCATAAGGGAAAGTAAAAAAAAATCCAGCAGATCTAATACCAGATAGACCATGGTTCAAGTACGGGGTTTCCTCTACACTGGTTGGGTGACCCTAGGAGAGTGATTTCTCAAAAAAAAAAAAAAAAAAAGAAATCACTCGTCTAGGGTCATCCAACCATTGTATTCAAACTAGAAAATGCTAAGCCTGCTTACTGCCTTGCCTGTTCCTTTCCTGAAACTAGACAGAGCGGGAATGGGGTTTGGCTTCGGCTCACCCCCACTGGAGCATTCTTTCACACATTCACATTGATTCATAAAACCCACTACACATCTTGCTGACACCACGCTGACTAACCCCGAAGGTTTAGCCAAACAAAGAAAATCACCATTCTGTATTGTTCTGGGCACTCATAATGTGTAACCATGCCTTTTACTTCAAGGAATCCAGGAATTGGCTTTAGGAAATCCAGTGGTTGTAGAACTGATTTACAGGCTTGTTGCTGTTGGCCAGACCACCACTAGGTGGCCCATTACTCAAGAAAACCAGCCAACCAGATGTGAGGACCTGCAGAGCCCACCTCCCGTGCTTTGCCTGGCCCAGGCTGCATAACCTACCCACTATCAATTCCCATGCTTTGCCTAATAAAAATTCCCAGCCAGCTCTTTTCAGAGAGTCAGCCAGGGAATTCTCTCGCTGTCTTGTGCTGCCTCCCTTATGCCCAGGCACAAGCTCCAATGAAGCCTTGTCTGGTTAAACTCTTTTGGCCTCATGTCAATTTCTATTGCATTGACAGCCCAAGAACTCATTCTTGGGATCCAAACCACACTAAAGGTTCTTGCCCACCTTTTCCCCTCTGCCACCTGACAGACCCCTTGTGTCTCCCACGGCATAGCATGCCCACTCCTCTCCCAAGAGAGTATAACAAACTTCTTCTGTGAGTATAACAAAATTCTTTTTTTTTTTCTTTAAAAAAAAAAAAGAGATGGGGTTCCACCACATTGGCCAGTCTGGTCTCGAACTCCTGACCTCAGGTGATCCACCTACCTCGGCCTCCCAAAGTGCTGGGATTATAGGCATGAGCCTAACAAACTTTTTTTCAGTGGCAGTCATCTCCTGATCTGTTGGCTTCACCATATCTAAACAATAGTAAGCCAGTCCCTCATGGCTTCCATCATACTTAGAATAAAATCCAGACTTCTTTCAATGGCCTAGAAGGCCCGCTGAGCTCTGGCCTCTCCCTGCCCTCCAAGCCCTGGCCTCTGCCCTCCCTTGCCCCGGGCTCAAGCCCCACTGCTTTCTTCCTGCCCTCACACCAGCAGGGCCTTGAGGGCCTTCCTTTGCTATTCCCTCTGCCTAGAACATATTTGTCCAGAGCTCAGCAGGGATGGCTTCTTTTCCATGTCCAGGGCTCAGTTTACAGTCACCTTCTCAGCCAGGCCTTCTCAGCCAGGATCACTCACCATCAAGGAACAATAACAGCCAACACTTCCTGGAAATTTTCCATGGCCCAGACACTATTTTATGTGCTTTCTATTTACTATTCACTCCTTGAATCCTCACAACAATCTCTAAGGTAGATATTGTGACTCTTTCTATTTTGCAGATAAGGAAACTGAGGCTCAGAGAGGTTAAATTACATGATGGAAGTTTTACAGCTAACAATCAGGAAAGCCAGAACTCAAACCCAGCAGCCTCAAACCTGTAGTCCACGCTTGGAACCACAGAGCTGTATTTCTTAACACAGAGTAAGGGCACAATAAATACTAGCATATTGTTGTTTTATCAGAGCCTATGTTTCACCCACCAGTTTTCTTCCTCTTTTTTAAAAAAAATAATATCTTGACTGTAGACCTGTGTGGGCAGGAGCCTGATGAGTTATTTATTTTTTTATTTATTTAGAGACAGAATTTCACTCTTGTTGCCCAGGCTGAAGTGCAGTGGCACGATTTTGGCTCACAGCAACCTCCACCTTCCGGGTTCAAGTGATTCTCCTGCCTCAGTCTCTCAAGTAGCTGGGATTACAGGAATGCACCACCACACTCAGCTGATTTTGTATTTTTAGTAGAGATGGGGTTTCACCATGTTGGCAAGGCTGGTCTTGAACTCATGACCTCAGGTGATCCACCCCCTTGGACTCCAAAAGTGCTGGGATTACAGGTGTGAGCCACCACACCCAGCCAACATTATTTTTTAATGTAGAGGCTAGGTCTCGCTCGGTTGCCCAGGCTGGGAGTACCACAGCTATTCATAGATGTGATCATAGCTCACTGCATCCTCAACCTCCTGGGCTGAAGCGATCCTCCCGCCTCAGCCTCCTGAGTAGCCGGGATTAGAGGCATGGGCTGCTACCCTCTCCCTGATTTTCTTTCATTAAGTTTGGATTCCTTCACACAAGTCATTCACTGTCCAGTTTGTCCCTCTTGCTCCCTATTGTCTTAGCCCAATTTAAACTAACTTGGTTGAACCCTGAAGTCATTCATGCCTCTTGCTCAGCCTCTCATTTTTGTTGTTGTTGTTGGTTTTGAGACAGACTTTTACTCTGTCACCAAGCATGTAATGGAGCAATCATGGCTCACTGCAGCCTCTGCCTCCTGGACTCAAGCGATCCTCCCACCTCAGCTTCCCGAGTAGTTGGGAATATAGGCGCGCACCACTGCACCTGGCTAATTTTTTTTTCCAGTTTTGTAGAGCTGGGTGCGGTGGCTCACACCTGTAAGCCCCGTGCTTGGGAGGCTGAGGCAGGTGGATCACTTGACATCAGGGGTTTGAGACCAGCCTGGCCAACATGATGAAATCCTGTCTCCACTAAAAACACAAAAATCAGCCAGCTGTGGTATGGTGGTACACGCCTGTAATCCCAGCTACTCAAGAGGATGAGGCAGGAGAATCAAAAACAAATTCGTGGAGACATGGTCTCGCTATGTTACCTGGCCTGGCCCCTCATTCTTTTAACCAATACCCACCATGCCAGGTGCTGTGCAAGGCCCACAAAAATGAATAAGTTACCCTCACCTTTCAGGCACCCACAGTCACATGCGGAGGCAGACCTGCACCGGGTCACTTCACTGCAGGGTTATGTGTGCTGTCCTGGGGATGCCAACAAGTGTCAGAGAAGCACCTGAGAGCACAGAGCAATCAGCCAAGGAGAACATCCCAGAGAAAGTGACATCTCCGGTGGCTCACGCCTGTAATCCCAGCACTTTGGAAGGCCAAGGCGGGTGGATCACGAGGTCAAGAGATCGAGACCATCCTGGTCAACACGGTGAAACCCCGTCTCTACTAAAACTACAAAAAATTAGCTGGGCATGGTGGCGCGTGCCTGTAATCCCAGCTACTCAGGAGGCTGAGGCAGGAGAATTGCCTGAACCCAGGAGGCGGAGGTTGCGGTGAGCCGAGATCGCACCATTGCACTCCAACCTGGGTAACAAGAGCAAAACTCCGTCTCAAAAAAAAAAAAAAAAAAAAAGAGAGAAAGTGACATCTCTACTGGTTTGAAGGACTAGACAGGAAGCAGATGGGAGAAGTGCAGCACAATCAAATGCATGAAGGTAGCTGAGTGCACGTGTGTCTAGGCACCTGCTGGTCACGTTGGGTGTGAAATGCATGAAGGTGGCTGAGCGCACGCGTGTCTAGGGACCTGCTGGTCACATTGGGTGTGAAATGCACAGAGGTGGCTGAGCACACACGTGTCTAAGGACTGGCTGGTCACGCTGGATGCAAAGCAGACATGAATCTGCCTGGCTGAGGGAAATCGATCCAGATCTTGAAGGGCCTCTGTAAGGACTGCAACTTCTGTTGTGGAGGCTGCAAGCAATCCCAGAGGGATTTTTTTTTTTTTTCTTTTTTTTGAGACAGAGTGTCACTGTGTCGCCAGGCTAGAGTGCTGTGGTGCAATCTCGGCTCACTGCAACCTCCGCCTCCTGGGTTCCAGCAATTTTCCTGCCTCAGCCTCCCAAGTAGCTGGAATTACAGGCAGGCACCTACACACACAGCTACTTTTTTTGTGTTTTTAGTAGAGACAGGGTTTCAGCATGTTGGCCAGGCTGGTCAACTCCTCAGGTGATCTGCCCGCCTTGGCCTCCCAAAGTGCTGGGATTACAGGCGTGAGCCACTGCACCCGGCCCTCAGTCTGTTCTTGGAACGCACTCCATCACCTGGCTCGCAGAACTCAGACTGCACAATGGTTACTTCATCACTGGCCAGGGTTCACAGTTACCGCAGCAGAGGCCTCTCTATACCTCCCTCCCCTCCAGCCTCGCCCACTGCCACCCTCCCTTCCTGCCCCCACCCGGGTCCCCTGACCCCACTTTACCTGACATGTTTGTATAACTTTCTCAGGCTCCCAGCTGGCATTGCTGCCTACAGTGGGATCTGATCATGAAAGGAAAACAGTGCCCTGGGGACCCCAGACGCCCTACTCTACTTCACATGCTGTGCCCCGTCTGCTGCCAACCTCTCTGCCCTGCCCCTGTGCCCAAAACCAGTTCTGTGTCAGGCTAGGCAGTCTTCCTAGAAATTTTAAGCCGGGATTGGCACGATATTGCTGGCAAGGTTTCCACCCCCTCTCCCATTCCAACCCCATCCAATTTCTCCAAAACTACTGAGAACTTGGTGCTCACCAAATCAGCTCATGCTCTGCAGGCCAGCAAGCCTTTACCAGGCATCTGATAGGCTTGATAACAACAAGGCTGGAAGCCAGGAAGAGAACATTAAGAGCAGGAATTCAGCCCTGCCTTGGCCTCTAGGTATCCCCGAACTGGCCCAGTTTCCAAGAATCATTTTGATGAGAGATTCTGGGAAGCAGGACATTGTTGAGTAAACTCTCAAAGGCCTGGAAGGAGCCAGAAAGCAGAAAGGGTAATGCTTCCCCGTCTCAGGTGGGCGTGAGCAGGAAGTCCAGCTCCTTTCCTTGTGGGAAGCCCCCTCAGCCTGGCCTCCTTCTGGGTTCCGTAGCCCCTGCTTCTCTCAGCTAGGGCTCTGGGGGATGTCCCCCATCTCTACACTTAGGCTTGGCAGACAGGGAATATGAGAGCAGCCTCAGGAACCCAGTTCCCTTCCCTTCCCAACAGCCAGGCATCAAGGTATGGTAGCAGAACAGGGAAATCTGAGTTTAATCCTGGTTTGGCCACCCATTAACTATAAGACCTTGGGTAAGTCACCCAGCCTCTGCATACCTTGGTTTCCCAACCTGCAAACTGGGGGTGGAGCTACTGACCTCTCAGAATCATTGTGCCAACTGAATGAGCTCAGGTGTTCCAAGCACTTGGCACAAACATGTTCCTTCCCAAGGTTGGACGCTGGCATTTGGCATTCTTTAGGTGGAGTGGGGCCAGGGTGGGCATTAGCTGGACCACACCGATTCAACACATATTTTGGCAGAGAAGACAGCACTTGTAAAGGTATGCAGGGGTAACAGGGCATGGCAAGGTTGGAGAATGTTACGTTCCCAAGCAGTTTGCTGCTCCGTGGAGCAAGGCGTGACCAAGAATGAGGAGATGGGAGATGAGACGAAAAAGACCAGCCAGGGTCAGGATGCGGAGGGCCTTGAGCCAGACGAAAAAGCTTAGGCTCCACATGTACCCCTTAAACTTAAAAGTTGGAAAGAAAAAACACATATATATAAAATAAGTAAAAGGCTTAGGCTCCATTTCAGGCTCCCCGTCATGGGGTGCAGCAGTGAGGACTGTGGAATGTGAACCAGGCAGACCCGGCTGCACATTTCAGTTCATTTCATTTAGCCTAGTGCTGGGAGGCTGCAGTGGGCTCTATTTGTGCCACTGCACTCCAGCCTGGGTGACAGAGCCAGATCCTGTCTCTTAATTTAAAGAAAACAAAAAAAAGAATAGGCCAGGCACAGTGGTTCACACCTGTAACCCCAGCACTTTGGAAGCTGAGGCGGGCAGATCATAAGGTCAGGAGATCGAGACCGTCCTGGTCAACAGGGTGAAACCCCATCTCTACTAAAAATACAAAAAAATTAGCTGGGTATGGTGGCGCATGCCTGTAGTCCCAGCTACTCGGGAGGCTGAGGCCAGGAGAATTGCTTGAACCCAGGAGGTGGCAGTGAGCCAAGATCACGCCACTGCACTACAGCCTGGGCAACGGTGTGAGATTCTGTCTCAAAAAAAAAAGAAAAGAAAAGAAAGAAAGAGAGAGAGAAAGAAAGAAAGAGGGTGAGAAGAAGAGAGGGAGGGAGGGAGGAAGGAAGGAAGGAAGGAAGGAGAAAAAAATAGAGGAAAGAAGGAGAAAAAAGGAAGGAAGGAAGGAAGGAAAAAGAAAGAAAGGAAAGGGATGAAGGGAAGGGAAGGGAAGGGAAGGAAAGAAGGAAGGAGAAAAAAGAGAGGAAAGAAAGAAAGAAGGAAAGAAAGAAAGAGAGGAAGGAAGGGAGGAAGGAAGGAAAGAAGGAAGGAAGGAGAGACATAAAGAGAGAAAGAAAAGGGAGGGAGGGAAGGAAGGAAGGAAAAAAGGATGGAAGGAAGGAGGAAGGAAGGAAAGGAGACAGAAGGTAACAAAGAAGGAAGGGAGAAAGGAAGATAGAGAAAAAGAGAAAGAGAGAAAAGGAAAGAAAGAAAGGAGAGAGAAAGAGAAAGCCAGCAAGCAAGAAAGAAAGAAAAAGGAGATTCTTCTTTAGAAAGAAAAAAGAAAAAAAAAGAAAGAAAAAGGAGAAAGACTATCTTATCTGAAGACGGGGAAGTTGGGCATTTAGGCACCAACTCTCTTGATGGTTGAAGGTTACCTCTGAGGTATGTAACACACCTGTTCCTTCTGGTTCGTAGATACCTAAGAAAGCTCTCAGGCAAGGAAGCCAAGAGAAGCAGGCCCTTGTGTGGTGGGGCTCTGAGCATGCTGAAAACTACCACACTGGCAAGGGACTCAGAGAAGGGATGGGGGCTATGAGGCAGGTGTCAACACTGTCTGCTGTTACCTCTTTGAGCCTCTGTTCTCTCATCTGGAAAATGGAAAGGATATGAAATACTTCACAGGAATATTAAATGTAAAGTATTTGAAAGTTACCTAATGACATGGCTGACGCGTAGGGGATAAACAATAAATGGTAGGTATGCTTAGGGTCAGCTCAGATGCCAGTTCCTCGGAGAATCCTTCCCTCCCACTCTGTTGAGAGTAGCTCACTCCCTTCATTCTCCATCAAAGCAGCATCCTATTTCCTGTGGAGCATTTTAACATAGTATATAATTATCTCGGTTATGTATTTGTTTGACGTTTTGGTTTGGTTTTTGTTTTAGAGACAAGGTCTCACTCTGTCACCCAGGCTGCAATGCAGTGTCGCAATCATAGCTCATTGCAGCCTCAGACTTCTAGGTTCAAATCATCCTCCCACTTCAGCCTTGTGGTAGATAGGACTTCAGGCACGCACTACCATGCCCAGCTACTTTTTTTTATTTTTTTTATTTTTTGTTTGTTTGTTTGTTTTTGAGAGACAGTCTCCCTCTGTTGCCGGACTGGAGTGCTGTGGCGCAACCTTGGCTCATCGCAACCTCTGACTCCATGGTTCAAGCAATTTTCCTGCCTCAGCCTCCTGAGTAGCTGGGATTACAGGCACATGCCACCATGTCCAGCTAATATTTTTGTATTTTTAGTAGAGACAGGGTTTCACCATGTTGGCCAGGATGGTCTCGATCTCTTGACCTCTTGATCCACTCGCCTTGGACTCCCACAGTGCTGGGATTACAGGTGTGAGCCACCATACCCAACCAAGACAAATCATTTCTTTCTTTCTTTTTTTTTTTTCAGACAAATCCTTTCTATATGCCCAGCATGCAGCCCAGAAGAGACATCATCATATGCTGAGATGTAAGAAAGAGGAAGGCAGCCCCTGAAGTCCAGGGGCCAGTCTGACACAGCCAGACCTTGGCCTTGGCCTGTTGGACATAAACAGCTTTATAGAACATCAACAGCAGACAAGGCCACTCTGTGACTGTGATAATCAAAACACAAGCAGGACCACTCCTAATCATGTCTGAACACAAACAGAAGATACATATTGTCCAAACCACTTAAAAGACCAACCATCCCCCTATCGCTGCCAAAATGAGAGACTGCTGCTTCTTATCTATGACAGCTTTCGCCTGGGTCTAGCCTCCCCTCCTAGGTGCATTTTATCAAGACCCAAGTCATAGAATTACCCCTGCTCTTGACAGCATCCAATCTAAAGCCAAGCCCTGCTTCCTTAAACTCTCCCAAATTATCTAACAAAAGCCCAGATTCTGTAAGTTCTTTCTTCCACCCTCCTGCTGAGATGCCCCCCTATACCATTTCCCCATTGCCTGCATTCTCCCTTGTTGCAATGAGTAACTAATACAACTTGTTTAATTACAGGTATGTTTCTGGTGGTTTTTGACTGGAATGCAAGACTGTCCCTCCCCACCACCACAGAAAAAGTTTTGTCCACCAAACTTCAGCAGGTAGTAGGAGAATAGAAAAATCCAAAGCTGGTCACCCAAATACCAGCTTGAAGCAATTTAGCAACAAAGGAAAGGCCAGACTTGGGACAGTAGCTGACAGCGGACTTGAAGGGAACTTCAGGCTGTTGGAGGATGAGATCTATGATGAAAATGCTGGAAAATCAACCATTTGCTTAAAAAGGTAAAAAAATTTGGGTTGTTTATCCCAGAAAAGTCTGGCTTGGAAAGAAGTGTGGTTAAACTCAACTGTTTTATTTTGCAACAGGGAAGAGTTTGATTGTGCCCAAGGAATATCTTCCTAATGGGGACAAAGGAGGTAAAGGAGGAGGTGGCATGCCCGTCCCTGGGGAATTTTAAACTCAGCTGACCAGCCAATGGCTGCAGCATAGCCTGATCTGGGAGTAGGAGACTGAAGTGACCTCCAGCTGTCCCTCTCATGACCAGGACCTCCGGCTTGTCATGAGAGTTCAGGCCAGCTGCACAGCACGGATTAATGTGCCAAAGGGAGCCGCTCTCTGATCTGTACTAAGCTTTTCAGCTTCTGTGGTCGCCGCCATCAGCCACAGATTTAATGAGAGCCGGGGCTTAATTACCACAGTGCAGCGCTGCCAACACTCTCTCCGGATGACTTTGTCTTGGCTCCTGGAAGGATGGGGGTGACAACAAGTGTGTCGGCAGGAGAGGAAAGCCTAAAGCAGGGAGTCTGGACCCTGGTGATTCGAGGGAATGTGGGCTGCAAGAGTGGGTGGAGGGGGCGACTGCAGACTCAGTACCTGACCTCAAAGAGCTCACAATGTGTCAAGAGTTAAAACCTCTAATCCAGGAGATAGCCCAAGGCAGTGTGAGTCAACTCCCATGTGTCGTGGAAACTTTGGCGGCGTGAACAAATCTCCTAGAGGAGGGGGCTGGGGGATGGGGGCGTGGGGGCGTGCAGGTTGAGTAAGGAAGATCTTGAATGTCAGGCTAGGCAGTTGGGACTTCATTTCATAGGTAGTAGAGAGCCATCGAACGTTTTTGAGCTGCCGGAACGATCCAAATTTCCTGTGGAAGTTTACTTAATCCAGTACTCCTGAGGGATGGGCTCTGCCTATCCTCCCTTCCCCCCCAAGAATATCTCCTTCCATGCCTCACACTCTGCTGCAGCCAGCACTAGACTGATTGCCATACTCTGAAACGTTCTTCACAGTCTCTGTACTCCTGGCTACGTTCTTTCCTTCTGGTCTCAAAGTTAACATCGCTCCCTCTAAGGAGCCCTGCGGACACCGCCCTTTTCTCCCAAGCCTGGGCACGGGCTCCCACGCTGGCTGTGTCTCCCCATGAGATCACAGCTCTGTGCTGTCATTATTCATTTGTCTGAATTCTCTGCTAGGCTGTGATTCTGTGGAGGCTAGCGGGTATCGTGTCCTTCTGTGGAGGCTAGTGGGTATCGCGTCGCTAAGAGCCAGCATAAGGCAGTGATGTCGGGGTGGATGCGGCCCAGCAGATCGCTAGGGTTCCTCCCCTTTCTCGGCCAGGGAGTCTTTTGAGGACAATGGAAAATCACAGGTGTCAACAGGTCTAGGCTGGGAGGGAATGTCCCCTTAATTGAATGAACAGTCTGTTATTCTTACAGGAAGCAAAGCGTGCAGAAGACACAAAACAAACTCCGATCGCCTCCTATCTCCCTGACAATAAAGCGAAGCGGGGGCCATTTCTAGGCATGCCTGGGGACTATTTAAGGAAGTTGAGGCGGAGGGTTACACTCGGGATTACAAAAAACCCCTCCGCTCGAGAGCAGAAATAGCGGCGGCTCCTCTTCAGGCCACCAGGGGGAGGAATCGCACCGCATCCCGGGCCTTGGGCAGTTTCGCATGGGTACGGTGTAGGTGGGGGAAATCGCGTAGATCTCTGGGAGTTGTAGTCCTAGGTTGTAATGCGCAGTCTCACTTTCTGCACATCGAGAGTTGTAGTTCCAGAGTGAGGAACTGGACGTGCTTCTAAGCGTCCATGTTGAGCCCTGGAAACTACAACGACCAAAGGGCCACGGGCTCCTGGGCGGTTTCTCGTTTCCGTCGAGTCAAACGTTTGGGGCTGCTTCTGAGGGATCAGCTCAACTGGGTAAGTTTGGCTGGAGAAAGCCTCTATATGTCCATTGAGCTCCCTACAGACTTTCCTATCTGTCCCGGTTTGGGGCCTCGGAGTTTCAGTCGGAGGAATTGCACATTAATCTTTGTCCTTTCCGTTTTCTCTTCTTTTCCTTTTTTTTTTTTTTTTTTTTGCCCTCTCAACCCAGCTTTCTCGACTCCGGGAAGAACCGGGAAGAGAAGACCGTCCTTTCCGTTTTCTATTCAGACACTTGTAGCCACCCACTCCCTTGACCCTCCCACGGTCGCCTCGCGCTTTCACGGCCGGCGCCCCTGAAACTACCCCTGAGCTCCAGTCCCAGGACCCAGCCCCCGCAGCCCTACCTTGGACCCCACAGCCCTACCCTGATTTCTCGGCTCCACGCTGAACCTGCAGCTTCACCCGCCCTGAACCCTGGCTTCTTTATGCTCCTCCACCTTTTGTGTACTTTGCTCTTACTCCCAATTTTCTGTTTTTCACGCCAGTGGAAGGAGAGTCTCCATTTCTTCTTCCCAATCCGCTAATACCCTGGACTGGAAGTCAGCAGACCCGCTTCTAGGCCAGCTCTGCCTTTCACCCTCTGTGACCTTGGGCAAATCATACAACTCCGGACTCAGTTTCTTCCTCTCTAAAACAGAGTATGACTGCTGCTCCATCAGTCTCGGGGTGAGGAGTGTTGTGGAGCCAACAAGTTAGTATGTGTATAAATGTCTTGTAAACTGTAAGACCCTCACGAAAGACAGAGATTATTTTTATCACAATTGTTAATGCTCTGGAACACTCTTATCACGGCTCTTTTCTAGCTCTGCCACCTTGTTGCTCAAACCCATCCCTTGAGCGCTTGGTGTCTTCATTGTCTAAGAGCTGGATGATATTTCCTCACTTCTTCCAGAGACCAAAGGTCAGGCCAATGAGCTGTTAGTCTCCAGAGACCTTTGTCTGAAAGGAAGCACCAGAGAAGTGTGTATCTTGGACTGTATCCTGAAATATCCAGTGATGAAAGGGCCACACAGCTGGCAGAGCAGCAGTCCTCTCCACACCAGAAACAGGGCCCCAGCAGGAGAGGACAGCTGCAACCTAAGCCCCATCCATTCCCTCTTGGCTCTTCTGGACCTGTTCAGTAGACACCAGCTTTGATAGGGCCATCTCAGGCCTGAAAAGGCTGGTGGGAGAGAATCCGTGTTGCCAAAGGGCTTAATCCAGGAAAAATGAGAGACCTTGGCTAGGAAAGAGAGACATAGCATTGTTAATTAGTTCCTAACATTTTATAAGCACTCAAAATGCCCCAGGCCCTAGGCAATATTTTCACTTATGAAGTATCCATTTTACATATAAAGAACTTAGAGAGGCCATGTAGTTAAAATAATTATAGCTGCCTCCTATGGTTATATAGTACCTTCTATGCATCGAAGGCTTTACATGCATTATTTAATCCTCATCAACAATCTCATGAATAGTTACTATTTCTTTTTGAGACACGGCCTTGCTCTGTCAACTGGGCTGAAGTGCAGTGGCACAATCTTGGCTCATTGCAGCCTCTGGCTCCCAAGCTCCAGCAATCCTCCTACCTCAGCTTCTTGAGTAACTGGGAATACAGTTGCAAACTACTACACCCAGCTAATTTTTTGTTTTTTAATTTTTTGTAGAGACAGATTTTGCCATGTTGCCTGGGCTGGTCTTGAACTCCTGGGCTCAAGCAATCCTTCCCACTTGGCCTCCCAAAGTGCTGGGATTATAAGTGTGAGCCATTGTGCCTGGCCGTAGTTATTATTCCTGTTGTGAGAATAAATTATCAGAGGCTTAGAGTTTGAGAAACTTGTTCAAGATCACACAGCTAATAAGTGGCAGGGGTAGAATTCAGAGTCATCAAAACCTTTTCTCACCCATTAGACCATATAGCCTTATTTTTAGATCAAAAACACAAAGATTGGGCCGGGCGCGGTGGCTCACACCTGTAATCCCAGCACTTTGGGAGGCCGAGGCGGGTGGATCACGAGGTCAAGAGATCGAGACCATCCAGGTCAACATGGTGAAACCCCGTCTCTACTAAAAATACAAAAAAAATCAGCTGGGCATGGTGGCGCATGCCTGTAATCCCAGCTACTCAGGAGGCTGAG